TTTTTATAAACATTGTATTTCTCGATGTTGAGATAATTGCGCTTTGTGGAAAATTACTTTAAAATCATTTAGAATCTTTCATATGATTTCGTCTTACTGTTTATCACTCGCTCGTTTTAATCAGCTAGTCTTAACTGCCTTTCACTTATTCACTTCAAATTCAATGCATTTTGAATGCCGAAAAGACCACTTTGTTGTGTATTAAAGAAACAGTTTATTTATCTCTCTAATGTTATTATTTAACAAGTTGCTATTTCTTTCATGAACATTAAACAGCATGTATGTAATTATCACGATAATTGTACGTAGAGGTCACATTTTTAATTGTCAGGAAAATCGAAAATAAAATTAAGTACTTTTGAGTTTGTATTATTTTCTTCCTAACTTACAATATTATTGCATACAAAATACTAGGTCGGACGCAAGTAAGCTAAATATTTCACTTGTATTTGAAAATTCTATCGAGCGTCGAAAGAATTTTACCCGTTAAAAAGTGTACCAAAAAACCCTTCCTATGCAGTTTTCTTTGGGAAGCAATTGGCTTAGATAGTTTGTTCCGACATGTGTTGACAAAATTCACGCAATGAGAAGCCATACATTTCGAACTTGTGACCTCTTGGTCAGTGCATGTGAAGATTACGCATGGCAATTAGTGTCTGGAAAATAAATGATTTGACAGGTTAAGATTTGTTCTCATTCTAAATTAAATACAAACACAAACCCGTTATTTTCTTTGTTATTTTATACCGTCCCTTATATCAGACAGATTATTTTAAAAACGTGTTGTTTAGGAAGATTAATCTTATGCATTTGTTTTATCTCATCTAATAAACTGAATTTACCCACGACACGAATTACATGCATGTAAGTACGCGTAAATGTTTATGTGGAAGAGCGCCCAAAATAAATACACTTCGAACTCTGGAATTTCCCTATTTTACTGTTTAAATCATAGGTCCGCTCAGCTGACGAGTTGTTTTAATAACGGTAATAAATTATATTCAAGTCCTGGTCAGCGATTGTTACGGTTGGTGACACTGCAATTAAACAGGTCGATACTCAGGTACTAAGATACTAACGGGTATATATATTTTCACCTAATATGTTTTCATTAAGTGTTTTCATAAGAAGTAAATTGCTGGATGATATCATGTTCTCCCTGATCACATCGATAGCGTGTAGAAACAGCGGTACATGAACACACGCTTTTGTGTACAAAGCAAACGTGTAAACCAAAAGGATGGGAAAAAACGACGAAATAAAAACATTTCTCTATTAACTGAAATTATTGTCTTTAGACAGATAAAAAATGAATGATTATCCGCCTGAGAACATGTGAAAATTATACCCAAATACAATGTAACGAAGGATTTGGGGTTTAATCCCGAGTACACAATTATAGCAATGATGTGTACATGTACATGCAGAATACTGCTTTTTTATCCTTCGTCCATGTGTTCCTCCTTAACGGAAAATATTATCAGTAAATTATATTATACCGAACGAGGTTGAAAAATGACGAACTTTATTTCTTAAAATTAACAGCAATTATCAGACTTTTCTCATATCACTGTAAAAATGCCCTAAAAAAACTAAAACCGTCTTTTTGACTTTGTCAACGCGTTTGATAGATAATGAAAAAAAAAAAAAAAAAAAAAAAAAAAAAAAAAAAAAAAAACGCTGGCAGTTTTAGAGGAGGTTCAGGGGGCCTGCCCTCTTTTGTATCCAAAATATACACAAGATTTAATAAATCAATTTTTTATGTGGGTTTGGGCCCCTACCCCGACACAAAACTGTTCGGGCCCCCTTTTCAAGACTCCTGTATCCGCCACTGAAAAAGAATGTGTTGTTCTCCTGGATGTCGATATCTGAATTATGTTTTAATTAAACACCTTGTCTAATATATCATGGGCGCCCATAATAGGACGATTATTCGTTTTTTAAAATAAAGTGGTTCTTACAGATGTTAAAAAAATTATAAACGGCTAATTAATTATTTTATTCATCTACAACAAATGTTAGTTTAGTTCTTTGCTTACATAATCCAACTTTTATAAATTAACACGAAAGTCGTGCGATCGTATACAAATACTCAGAAGCAATCTTTCATATTTAATGAACGTATAGGTGAATAAATTTCCTCTCATCACTATACGTATACCCCCATCCTCGAAATAAATAGAAAGTTTTCCTTTCGCAGTCGGTTGGTTTTACCAGGTACATGTCAGTACAAGTGAGGATGGAGCTTTACAGAAGCAGGTGATGAATTCCGAGAGAGATAGGCACTGCCTATTTTATATACATGTACATTCCTAGGGACCTTGTTTTCTGAACCGATGTCACTGTTATTCAAAGACCTAGCTAGAAATTCTCTCTCTCTCTCTCTCTTTGAAATGCAGGCCCGTCGATTGTAAAAAAAAAAGACAACATAATTTCAATTTTTAATAAGTATCTCACCTTCCAAGCCAAAGACCCAAGGAAGCTTTTCTGTTCATAATTCTTCATCTTTGTTTGCTTTCTTGGTGTATATGAGCGTTATCGTCGTTGTTGTTCTAAAGCTACTTGTAAATTTTTCTCATTTTTATCAAGAACCACAGGACCATAACAACGAAAATTAACACAGAATATTTTTGGTAAAGTTTTATTCAAATGAAGGGTCACATCCTCTTTTAAGGGATACATGTAGTAAAAGTTAGATGGGGTCCAGGCGCGGATCAAGGAATTTTTTTCCACGCGGGGGGGGGGGGGGGGATCCCAAAAAAAAAAAAAAAATTTCAACCCAGAAATTTCTTGACGAGCCAAAAAAAGAAACTCTTTTCCCAAACGTGAAAAACCAATTTCGTGTGTGTGTTTGTGTGTGTGTATGGGGGGGGGGGTCGCTGACTTTTAAAGCTTCATACCTAAGACTTTTCATACCATTTTAACACAGATACGCGTTTTCGAGGAAGGGTCCGCGTTTTCTAGGGGGGGGGGGGATGGTCACTTTTACTTGGCTTAGTATATACATTTAACTGCCCCCAAACCCCTCTAGATCCGCGCATGGGGTCATTTGAAAATAGTATTCTCAAGAACCCCTGGACTAGAATGAGAAAATTTCCAACATAGCATACATTCATTTTTTTTTCAAATATTGATTCCAGGGAGAAGGTTTGGGTCGGAAAGAGTGTTCATAATTTAACATAGGAATTTATATATCCCCCCAAACGAAGTGTGTGGGTTTGGGGTGGAGGTGTTTTGAGTCTTCTGGAATCACACTGTCCGTCTGCCTAGCTGTCCGTCTGTACGTGATAGTTTGCCAAGGATATTATAACTTTATTATGAAGAAACTGGAAGGTCAACTTGGTACAAAGATTACTAATGATCCGAGGGTGTGTCAAGGTTTTGATCCAATGTCATTCCGGCAAGTTCAAGGTCACCGGAAAAAAAATAGCAAGTATCATACTTGATACAGGAATTGCTTATGACAAAATTAAATGGTTTGACACGACCTTCATCCAAGGTCATTCCTGTAAGTTCAAGGTCACTGACAGAAAAGTGTAAGATTACTGTATGTGCTATAATTTTGGAAGCTCATACTTGGAACAAAGATTGCTTATGATCCACCGGTTTGAGATAACATAGTACTAGACTGGCAGAAGAAATGGCAAAATTCGTGCCTGGATTATAAATTTATAAGGGGTGGGAGGAACGCAGGAAACTTTTTCTCAGATTGCTTGAGATGGGTTTGTCCTGACCTTGAACAAAGGTTTTTTCGGCAAGTTCAAGGTCACTGGCAGATAAATATTATTTTCCCCCCATGTTATAACTTTGTTATATAAAATCACTGGAAGCTTTTACTTGATAAAGAGATTGCTTATGATCCAAGAATGTGTTTTGACCTTGATCCAAGGTCTTTCTGGCAAGTTCAAGGTCACTGACAGAAAAGTGCAATATTCTTTTTCAGGTATATCTTTGTCATTGAGTATCACTGGAAGCTCATAATTTGTTCAAAGGTTGTTTTTGACCTTAACATAGGTCATTTAGGCAAGATCAAGGTCACTGATATAATAAGTGTAAAATTCAAAAAGGTTTAGTCGCGCACGTGGCGCAGTGGTAAGAGTGTCTGCTCTAGAGTCGTGGATTAAGGAGTTGATCCTTACGTCGCAGGTTCGAATCCCAATGTGGGATGCAGAGACCGATCCTTTGGATGAGACCGTACAAACTGAGGTCCCGTCTGGCAGTAGGTGCTGACACGAAAAAGATCCCTCACTGCTCAATGGCCATGAGTGCCGAGTATAGGTCAAATTTGGAGACCTCCATCGGCAAATGGTGGCGTCTCCATATGATTGAAAAATTCTCGAAGCTGACGTTAAACAACATACAAACAAACAAACAAACAAAAAGGTCCATAATTTTGTAATAGAAAAAAATGCATGCATTTGCATTTCACTGAAAAGTTGATAAATATATCATCCAGAGTGTGTAATGGTCTTGACTTAAATTCGAGGTCACTTAGAATATGATGTTTTGGATGAATAGTCTGAAAGAATACGTGACTGTGATTTTTTTTATGTCGGTGACATACAGATGGTGTTTGCTCTTAACCAGCTGCAGAATGTGTCATGGCTTGACGCAAGGTTATTTGGACAAGTTCAAGTTCACTGACGGGGGAATTTTACATTCCTTAACTGTCTTTCTACTGTTGAAACATTGAAAGTTGATGCCCCTTACAGGATTGTTTATAACCTTAAAATGTTGCATGACCTTGACTCAAGGTCACTATGTCCTGTCCGGAGCTCAGACGGAAGACCTATTCGTTGCATTGCAACGAGCTCGGCTCTAGTTTTTGTATTTGTTATTGATAATTAATAATGTGAAATTAAAACTAAAGAATTGTTTTAAAAATATATATGTCTTTCAAAATTATAATGGCCTGTAAGCTTTTAAATTATCAGTACCGGGGTGCTGATTAAACATTTGAAAATATTTTTTAAAATTGATGACGTTCTTAACGTTTATAGGAATTGGCGGGCTTGAACAAAGCTTATGTGTCCGGATCTGTTTGTGAACGCAAGATCGAATTTTAATCCTTGAAATGTAAGTATAGTTTTTGTATATGTTATTGATAATTAATAATGTGAAATTCAACCTAAAGAATTGCTTTAAATATATATATATATATATATATATATAAATGTTTCAAAATTATAATGGCCTGTAAGCTTTTAAATTATCAGTACCGGGGTGCCGATTAAACATTTGAAAATATTATCTAAAATGATGACGTTCTTAACATTTATAGGAATTGGCGGGATGGAAAAGCCTTCTATATTATGAGACTATTGATGTGGCATTTTCTTCATATGGAAGGGACTGATTAATATGTATGGGAGATATGGATTCTAGGAACAGATGAACAACAGAAAAAGGAATGAATGATTCAAATGTGACCTTCCATAACTCTACAAATTAGAACTTGAAGACTCTTACATCAAATCGATATTTTGTACTGGACAAAGTGATGTGGAATATACTTGAGAAACATTGAACTTTCTACCTTTTCCTACTTTCAGTTACATTCCACTTAGTAACATTCCACGGGATACTTTAATGAAAGTGACAAAGAATATATTGTGATACATTTTTAGGAGGAAAAATTTATTTTTGCCAAACTTGGTGAAATTAATTGTGTCGTATAATCTGGGAAATAAAAAAGTTACAGAATTTAATTAATTTTGAAAGACATTTGTATTCAGGAATAATTGTGCCAACGTTGACATTTCAACAAACAACGTTGTACCAACGCTGAACCAACGTAATAATTATATTTTGAACTGAGGTCCACCGTAGGGCCAACGTTACAAAATATTTAGTTAGCATTAATATGTTGGAATAACGTTGTACCAACGTTGACATTTCAACAAAAGCGTTGTACCAACGTTGGACGAACGTAATAATTATATTTTGAACTGAGGTCCAACGTTGGGCCAACGTTACAAAATATTGAGTTGGCGTTGGTATGTTGGAATAACGTTGTACCATTGTTGACATATAAACAAAGAGTGTTGTACCAACATAGGCCCAACACGTTGGGCCAACATCGCGCCAATGAGCAATAGAACATTGGGCCAACGTAAATTGCCAACATTGGCGCAACATAACCAACATTGTTGGGCCAATGCCCTCATGCTATCTGGGGCATCGGTAAAAACTCACAATGATTATAATCTTTCTTCCAATGCCTGTAGTTTTAACATAAACTATTTGTTTTAAAAAAATATTTTAAAAATGGCATCAAGTTATTGAATGACTAAGATACATATAAAGGTAAAATTTTCGACATCAATTCACATCAGTCGTATTTAAACTTTTAATGCGAGTATTTACTCTGATTTTGTTTTTCTGTAAAGTCTTGGATCCACGCTTTGGCTGATCTAATCGATGCCATGTAAAATGTACTTTGATACACATGTATGGCACGCCAAATTCACAAAAATGAGCTAATCATAGTTTCACAGTTGATAAACTAGGTTTATCAACTGTAAACTATAGTTTACAGACCGTAAACCATAGTTAATGATGATAATCTATATTTCACATATGTAAACTATAGTTTACACGATAATCTATGTTTCACAAGCGTAAACTATAATTAACACGGAAGACAACCATTTGCTACTGCAAAATATAGTTTATCTGATAAATATAGTTTCACGATTTGTAAACTATGATTTACAACTCTAAACTATACTTAACAAATGTAAATTATAGTTTAGGCTTTGTAAAGTATACTTTACAGACATACAAAGCGCCAAATTTACAAAAATGCGATAAACATAGTTTTACACTTGAGAAACACAGTTTAGGAACAGAATCTCTTATTTTGTATCGGAGATGCACAATTTTCTGTGAAACTAGATTTCACGACTCTAAACCATAGTTTACGATCAAAACTATAGTTAACAATAGTTTTTTGTTTTTGTTTTGTAAATTATAGATCGGCTAATCCTAGTTACAGCATTATAAGATTTTGCTATGTAATGACAATTGTTGTTAAATATATATGCATGTATATTTCTTGTTGGCGTTATAAGTAAATGTTCTATTATTTTAAAGCAAATCTAGTTGGAAATAAAAAGAAAAATGACTGGAAAATTATTGATTAAAATTTTATTTTTTTGATTTAAAAGAGAAAAATAGAGACCGAAATGCGTGATCTGTCATTAATAAAATACATGTATATCTTATATTCATCTGTAAATAAAGACATAACACAGTACATGTAACATTGCAGGCGCGGAATTTATTTTTCAACAACCGAATTTTCTTCATACATAAATAAAAGTGGCCTTTCACGGAACAAACACTACAAATATTTGGGACTTCTCTCTCATTCTCTCTCTCTTAAATTCAAAAGAGGACGTTGAAACCCCCACAACCCTATCTATATCCGCCACTGCAATTCCTCTCTTTCAGTTTCTTTGTTTTGGTGATGAGATGTGGCGGGAAAATGCTTGGCACATTGTAAAACGCGCTTCACCCTCCTCTGCTTGAGCAAAAATCTCGTAATATTCTGTCTTTTAAAAAATTAAAATTTTGTCATATTTCTAAAAATTTCCCCCATAGGAAATGTATGTATACACGACATTTTAAAACAAATACAATTAATCCTGTTTAAATAGAGAAAGTAATATTGATTATATATAACTCGGTCTTTGCTTTAGATAATGCCCAACACGTGTCCTTATCTCCGCACTGATAAAACATATACCCCATTATTGCTTCTCGCGATTGGTGCCGCGAAATTTCGAACTGAAAACTATCGTTAACAGTTAACAGGTGTTTAGATTCATAAACTATATTTAACAACTCTTTATTTTCGTGTCCTTATCTCCGCACTGATAAAACATATACCCCATTATTGCTTCTCGCGATTGGTGCCGCGAAATTTCGAACTGAAAACTATCGTTAACAGTTAACAGGTGTTTAGATTCATAAACTATATTTAACAACTCTTAACTATAGTTTACGAGTGTGAATTATAGTTTATTACGATAAACTATGATTGGCAAATGTGAATCATAGTTTAGCTCTCAAAACTATAGTTTACGATCGATAAGTATAGTTTACGTCTGTTAAATATAGTTTGTGAGTATAAATGACAGTTAACTATAGTTTACAACCGAAATCTATGGTTAACGAATGTAAAACATAGTTTATCTGATAAATATAGTTTCACGATTTGTGAAACTATGATTAACAACTCTTAACTATAGTTCACGATTGTAAATTATAGTTTACAGATGTGATTATGAAAGAAATGGAACGTATATTTTCGCATTATATTGAGATTGAAACAAACCTTTGGTGTTTATTACGCACCTCTGTGGGCCTTTCAACTAATTTTTCAATTTGCACTTATTTTAAAACAATTGATAGAAGGATTTAGGGTTACATATAATTCTCAAACTAGAATATAACCTATACGTATAATTAATTTAATCATTCAAAGAGTTAAAAAGCTTCTATATGTTGTTTCACATTCATTTCAGTTGAGTAAAAAGGACTGTTTACGTAAACAACATTTTCTTTTTCATCGCAAACATTTTCATTTGCAAAACATGAGGAGGAAAATCCTACCCAGTCAATGAATTGCTTTACGTTTTTGAGAGTTCCGTATTACGGAAATGTCCGATCTATTCATAGTAATTATTGCATGTAACGAACGCACCTAACCTAACCCATTTGTTGTTGATTTTCAAATTAGTCAAGAAAAGATTTATTTTCGGAGGAGTTTACGAGAGAGAAAATAATTAAATTTACGTTCCCTTGTCAAAGAAGGTCGCTGATTCGCTGTTGTCTTCTTGCAGCGTGCCTTGTTTTCCTCAGTCTCATAAAAAGGCAAGACATGCTGCTCTGTTCCTCTATATAATTACTTTTAGATTTTGGTCAATGATCATCAAGGACTTTCCTATAATTGTACAGTAAGCCTCCCAATATCACTACCTCCAACAAAGGAAGCGTTTTACACACAATGCAGGAAGTCTGAAACGTTCAAAGATTTATAAAAGAGAAAGTGGTTCTGAATTATATGAAGTAAGGATGCTATAAAGAAACTGTGCAAATGGGATAACCATTAAATTTTGATTCTGAGGAGGGGTGGGTGGGGTTGTAATTAAAGTTTGTCGAGTCAAATTATATTTAGAACAAAACATTTATTTCCAAGATAATCGGAGACAGATTGTTTTTTCCTCGGCGAAAAAAAAGTTGGACAGGCAAAATAATAAATAAAATTTTTGGAAACTGTCCGATTTCCAAAACGCTATTTGGGAGGGGGTACTGTAGAAGTGGAATACATTACGGTGTTTTTAATTTCACTATGTTCACGATTGAAGAATTTTCCGCGAACTTTAAACCATCGTGATTATTATTTCATTTCATCTCTAAAACAGACATCGGTATTATCATTTGAATATAAATGATGTGTATAAAACAAACTTCCGCTTCGAGAAGCCCATTCTGTTCAGTAGAGATCGCGCCCATTCCTTGGTAATCTCGATTGTACCCCCATTTTCTTTAAGTTGCGTGCTATCTTTGAACATCAAGATCCCCTTGGCCCCGGCCATGACAATTTGTGCATTAACGACACCTCCTGCAACTCTTAGTCTCCGTATGTATGCTTTAACAAGATCATCATACTGTCCAAGTTTTAAGGGCCGTCCACGGGGGGAGTGCGGCAGAACACTCGGTTTAGTTTTACTGGGACTGCTTTGATAAAGTTTTCTGATGCTTCGAATCGTGCTTTCGTTCACTTCTCTTCCCAGTTCCTTGCTGAAATGACGGGCAGCTTTGGCCGGACCATTTTCAATTGCGTATCGTGCCATCTTTGCCCTAGTCTCTGGTGTGTAAGTTCCATATTCCCCACGTTTTCGTTTTCTGGGAGTCACAGCTTTTTCTACCTCGACATTGCATGAAGCAGTAAGTTGTGCTTCTTCATAATTTTCAATCTCTGTAGGGTCGGGCATTGTTGGAATGTTGGGACATTTATTTCCTAAAGTCCCACGTCTTACCCAATTAAGTATCGACATATTGACTAAACTGAATAACTTCAACCATAGGTGAGCTTTATTCACTCGTAATTATTTACGGGAGGTAACTCTACTACCGTATGAAATCTCTTAAACGCCACGAGTTGTCTTTCTTTCTCTAAACCAATCGTGAATTTATATTACAAAATAGATTCTCCGTGAAATTAAAACCACCGTGAAAGGTAACTTTCCAATAAACCGTGAAATTTTAGACACGTGAAATTAAAGACGTCTACAGTATTAAAAGGTAGCAACAATCAAGCTATTTTTCTTGCCAGTTTCGAAATTTTCATATTCAAACTATTTTTAAAATCTGCCATGTCTTCCCTAACATTCAAATAATTATATCCTAATTATTTTCACATCATTACCACCGTAAAATCTGCCACTCAGTAAAACGATCAGTACACTGTATCATGAATATGATGACAGTTTACACCCTCCTTAGCCAATTGCAATACCGCAACGAAGGTTCAACTATTGGCAAGTATATTTATCACCTTACTAGCTGCAATAATGTAGCCCTCTCCGATTTTTTTTAATCTGATATTTTCAGGAGAGGGCTACAATTCCATTGCATCTCCGTAATGGTGCAAATATATTTTTTAGATGCGGGCGACTGCAGGGAAAATAAATTGTTT